CGGTAATTCGCGACACGGCTACAAACGCGAGGCTGGTTCTTTCATTATATAAACCGACGGGTTGCACGCGGTTCGCTCCAGCAACTACTGTCGCGATCACGGCAGCGCCTCCAGGACAGAAAGTTTCCTTCGTGGAACCGGTGAAGTTTTCGAATGGCTTCCTCCGAATCGAGCACTGTTACGCGACCAAAGAACTTCTCGAAACAATTGAGACAATGCTATGCAGAATACGATGTTAACTCTTCTATGTAGCATTGGTATTCCAGAAAGCGCACACGCCTCTCGTCGAGGAGCAACAAGGAAAGTTGGAGAACGTCGTGTTGTTGCATCGCTAACGCGGCTCTTTACTCGTGATTCTTCCTTCGTGAATCCTCGTGATTCCTTGTAACTCGTGATTCGCGATTCGGCTCTAAAGGTCGATGTAAAACGCGAGATGCGCTCACTTACGTAATCCCACTCTTCTCCTTTGCTCCGTTTATCCTTTCCTTACAGCTACACTAGCCACCTCTGGCCACAAAATTATTCTACATCAGTTACTTTTTACCGCGTCGCGTTACTCTGTAGGTATTACAGTGTATCCTGAGATAAAAACAACGATAATTTACGAACGGGTACCGAAACAAAAATTAACAGTTGAAGTTGATCTGTTTATTTAAAAAATTAATTACTTCGATGATTTCATGTAAAATAAAACTCTTTCGGAAATCACTATTCTTCCACGTTATACATTCCGATGTCCCTTTCGTATTTTGAAAAATATATTCTGGAAACAGATTCGATTTGGTAATGACTAGTAATATACTCGCTGCATAATTTTCGATTTGCAGCATCTATCGCGCTGATGCAACACGCAGGGACGAGTTTGCGAGAGGCTCTTATAACCGCTCCTGCAATTATGTTGACGCAACATCCAGAGACAGTAGGATTCGCTTTCTCTCATCTTTCTAACGCTCGTCGCATCCTTTGATAATCGTTGTAATATCCGTCATTATACGATTTTTCACTCTTTTACTTTGCACTTCTATAACATTAAAGTAAAACCGATTTTCCAGACATGTCAGAAAATGGATTAAAAATCCTGCTTACTAGATTCTACCTATTATCTTAGGTAGACTTACTTAGCAGAAATAATGAATGATGAAAAAAATATTGATCTGTGTTACTTAAAGGGAAATAGTAATATAATTAAAGTTGACATATAGTGTTATACATATAGACTATACATCAAACTCAATTAGCTGGTCTGAATGAAGTCAGACGTTATTTCTATGAGTGTGCAAATAACAACTATACTATCGGGTATTACTCACATGTAGCTGCGATAATTTATTATTTATCGCATGCTTGATATCTTGCACCAATTGCAATATCCGGGTATTTCACCTAGTCAAACTTTGGATACTGAACAGGTAGGTAACTGCAGTAATCGATGATCAATGGACTAAAAGTACCATATAGGACTTTTTCTGCACATCACACTTATCAAAGGTAAGTTGTATTGAAATTAAATTCATTGACTAATTTAGCGAATACGAAAATATTTAGAATTGCATATAATACTCATTCAATGAACCAAATATATAGATTACATAGACAAGACACTCCTGTATGTACGGAAAGGTAAAAAAAGTAGCGGTTTTTAATTTTTCCAGTTATGTTGTACCTTCCAGAAAAATCTGAAAAAATTACAAATTAATAATCTTGACGGGCTGCAAAAAGTGTAAAAACATAGAAGTTGTCATTCGATGACTTCGATAAAAAAAATCTGTGTTTTTAAACTTTTTATTTTTTTCAAATTTGGTTTTGCAGCCGAAGGATATGAAAAAATTTCTAGACATGCATCCCCCTGCCTACTTTTTGTAATTCTATCGCCATTGTACTCGATTTTAGAAGATTATTGCGCGTTTAATATTATCAACAAGCCTACTATCACTTAGTAACACGAACTTATTATCTTCCCGTACCAGGAAAAAATATTGAAAACTTAAAAAGTTTGATCAACTAAACTGTAGACTACAACTTTTGTACAATACTAGCAGATTCGTTATAGAATATTTATAATTTTTCGTTAAAGAATATAATATATATTCTCTTATATTATAGCACTCCATAAAAAAAATTGAAGATCACCTTGATATATCAGAAAATTTAAGACAAGAATCAAAATGCATCCATTCGACAAGCTTCGTCGAATACGATGCATTTATAACAGATCAAATTTTATTCCATTTTCGGTTTCAATTCCTTATTCGTTTATTGATTATTCGAAAAGGATACTTATCCGTTACTGTTTTATTCAAAATAATTATTATTTTCGGTTCATTTTGAAGGAGAACTGTGTATTCTTCTTGGAACATTACCAGTCTTATCTTGTGTGACACTTAGGTAATGTCCCGTGTAAGAATTTTTTCGCGAACATGGTCACAATTACTTCAAAGATTTGTCAGAGCGAAATTTTGCTGCACCAAATTGTTTCAACGATGTTTTTAACGCGTGTCACAATACTTACGAACAACTGCGTACGTATATTCTAAGCTTACAACTTGTAGGATCACGAAAGAAATTTGTTAGCTAACCTAACCTCAAAATCAGATTCTTTGAACTATTTGATAATCGATATAAATGGAAAACATAATCTGTTTGGCACACGATTCGAAGTAGATTCAAGCTTAAGTGGTTAGTGGTGGATAAGAGGGTCCGGCAAAGGAAGAATACGAAACGAGTACGGTCTGGGTACAACGTAGTACATAAGCCGGATGGGTTCGTCTCGTGTTCCAAGTATTACAAGAGCGATGTTCACGTGTCAGGACTGTCAATTCGGAAAGTTGCGTACGACGAGTATCTTCGTCCAGGTTCGCCCACCTTCGGCCACCGGGTCTTCCCCCTTCCTTCCTTGCCTTTTCCATGGGAACGTTGACTTCGAGGCGTGGCGCCGGAACTCGAGGAACGTCCTAGCCGACGACCTCCTCGGAAATTACGTGAGTCAACCACGTTCCATTCACGATCGTCCTTCCTACCGATCTCGTTAGATCCTCGATCGTTCGAGCATTCCGTCTCATCAATCGTTTATTAACCCTTTGCGGACGGGACCATTTGACGTGTGAGAATGTCTGCTTAGATGAGAGGTTTTGGCAGCGTGCAATGGAGAAATGATATATGTACACTTAGGCGATTACGTTATAAGAACGATCAATTTTACATTTAGTTCGATTATTTCGACAGGTGGACCGCCGCTGCAGGGCCGTATTTACCGTAAGGCGTATTAAGCGCAAGCTGGCACCTCGCTCTTTATTGGACCGCGTTTTAAAACCTTACTCCTCGCAAACAATAATATAAAAAAGCCTAGTTATAGTTGCAAAATAAAATACTTATTTTTTAATATTAACACATTCTGCACTGCGTAAATATTAAGCTAATTTTTCGTACGGCCCAAGCACTTTTTTGTTTCTTATTTTGTTTTTTTCTTTTTTTTTTGTTAAATCACATTTTTGACATTTTTTATGTCGAATTTTATATTTTTCACTTTGTCTGATACATTTTGAGAAGGTAAGTGACTGTCTATGCGCGTTTCTGTTTGTCATCCACATAAACTGTCGCTCATATGTGAGCGACGCTGTACAGAATGTATTAAATTCATAATATAAAAACAAGAGGCCGTTGAAAACGGAAACACCAAATTTATGAATTTGATTAACTGAAATAGACTTGTTCTTTTGAGGCCTTGTAATGATGTTGCGCCTAGAGCCTCCAGAAGTATAAATATACGTCCCAGATACTAAAGCATCGTACTAGGTTGTTGCAGATGAAATGACCGAGGTGTTAATCAAATTTTCAACGTGTGTAGTTTTAGTAAAAATACAATATTTATCAATCGAAGTATGATCTACTTATGCCGTAACAGGTTATTCATGCCTTTCTTAAAACAAAAATATAACAATTTACTTTTGGACAAAATAAACTTTTTTCCAACTAAAAGGTAATCAGTGAAATTTAATCTTTATCAGTGGTTAACTTTCATACACAACCTGCTATTTAACGATAAAATAATTAACGAATTTTGATTAACTGCGAGGTGTATTTACAACCTGATACAATTCGTTTATCCTTCGAAGCTAACAGTAGCGTGTAATTAGCTCTATAAGCAACGGCTTTATTCCCGGGAAATAGTTGGTCTTTTAATTACATCTGGAACATATTTAGGATTAGGATAGTTCCGGTTAAATGACACTCCATTCGCAATCTACCGATAGCATGCTTGTAAAATGTCTATCTGCAAAAAGGTGATATCCTCGTAACATGGTAAAAAAATTGCACACATCCGGTATTAGCATCTGCTAAAACATAAATAACGTAAGTCCAGAACGCCGGAAATGCTCGGGCGGCTATTTGCCAAACACCGTTTGCAAAGGGTTAACATTCGGCTAGAGTTCGATTCAAAATTCACATCGTTTCCTTTCGCTCCTCAAGTGAAATCGATTGTTCGCAAGCACGGTATATTATTGAAATTTCCTTCTTCATTAGCGGCTAGTTAATGAAAAATAAATGGCTCCGTTCACGATCATCGTTGAAGAATTACCTTTCCGTTTAAAGATTGGGAACACCTTAACGAGAAGCAAATATCTTGGACCTTTTAGGAATTGGCGAGATTGAAGCAAGCTTGCGCAGTTCTAACATCGTTTAATTACGAGAGAAGTTTCACCTGTTTGAACAATCGAAAATTTTTCAAAAAGGGATCTGACATTACGCGCAGCATTGCGGTCCAATGAGAATCTAACGAAGTGACCGGAACTTCTATGTGAAGACCATTTTTATCCTGTAACCCCGGTAAGCAGGAAACGGAGTAGAAACTGAACTAGCGAGCGTATTATTGATCGGTGGCCACTAGTGCGCCAGCGCAACATAATCCGGAGGGCAAAACAGTAGCAATCTACCCTCATTCATGTTTCGTCCAGTGCTCTAGTGTCGTTCCGTCGCCCATTCGGCACTGCTATTTTGACACTATCAAAGTGTCATCGCGCGTGGTTAACATGTCCAGTGGTACGTGTGCATATCTTTGATTTAAGGTCCTACCTTTCTCTCTTCTCTCGAAACGTAAATGAGCGTCGAAGGTACGAAAGGTTAGCGAAAGAAAAAAAGAGAAAAGAAATAAAGAGTGAGAGAGAGAGAGGGAGAGAGTGAGAGAGAAGAGAGCTAAAAGTAAAATTGAGGAAAAAATTGTGGAAACATTTAATTATTTTGTCTTATTCATCAAGATAGGGACTATATTGGATTTGCAACATTGCCCGAGCAAGTACACAGAAAATCAGTTAAAAGGGGATTCGAATTCACTTTGATGGTATTAGGAGAGAGTGGTCTTGGAAAGTCTACCTTAATAAATAGTCTATTCCTGGGAGATCTGTACAAAGATCGACGAATTCCTGATGCTGCTGGTTGGTAACGAACGTACAAACATACTAAATCGCACGTTCAACGATTATGCGAAAGATCGTTTCTTTCTAGAACGTATTGAGAAAACGACAACGATAGAGAAAAAGACAATGGATATCGAAGAACGTGGTGTCAGGCTACGTCTAACGATTGTCGACACACCCGGTATAATACATTGCAACTTTTCTTTATCAATCAAATGAAAAATTGGTAGCTCTCGTGTGTAAGGCGATAGGTTGTGTATAATACGAAATTGTGTTTTATGCTGTAATTACGCGAAAAGGAGATTACGTTTGAAAAATCGAGTAAAACGCAGTGTTACTGTTTTTCTTAGATCGGTGCAAACGAAATGTCTCTTTTCAACAATTGAAATTCACGGGTTGATACCACGTATTAAATTTTGCCCGATCGTAAATTTTTACACGCAACAGTCAAGAAGGAGGAATTAAATAATGCGATTGTTTGGACATTGTCATCTGACGTGACGAATAATCCGAATATACGCGTAATTTTTTCACATAAGTTGAAACTTGAAAAAAGGGCGGTTAAAACAGTTGAAAATATAGATTTAGCATTTGAAAAAGGTTATGTAAATGTTAGGACACTTCAACGTTGGTGTGCAACATTCAAAATTGGTGACTTTTCATTGAAAATGGTCCAAGAGAAAGGCAAGATAGGGCCTAATATGATACCGTTTTAAGAAAAATTATCGGAAACAAACCTCGGTAAAGATTATGAAATTTTATCACATCTTCCATTACTCGCCAGACCTTTTCCCAACAGATTACTATTTCTGCACACAACTGAGTAATTCTTTTAACAAATAAATTATCCCGAAATGAAGACACCGCAAAAGTGCCGTTCAAAGAATATTTTAATTCAAAGACCGATGATTCTTGTACGTTTGAAATAATGAAACTAGTTAATTGTTGGAAAAAATGTACAGAATCGTGTGTGCTACGTATCTAATGTTTCATTTCAAAAAACGACATTTCATATGCACTAATCTAATAATAATAGTTGGACGAACGTTTTGTGCTATGATGCATGTATGTCAGACAATGTATGTATATATATATATTCGTTTAATTTTCACCACAATTAATCAACTGTATTTTACGAGAGTTACCTGCACACAAGATACTACGAACTTTCGTGTAAATAAGTATATATTAGGATTTGGTGACGCTGTGAACTGTGAGGACACTTGGAAAGCATGCTCAGCCTATATTGACGAACAGTTCCGACAATACTTCACGGACGAAAGTGGATTAAATAGGAAAAATATTCAAGACAACCGTGTACATTGTTGCTTATATTTCATACCTCCTTATGGCCACGGGTATATCTGAAACACTATTTGCATTCGACACTCTATACAATCTTGTCACGTTCACTTTTTTCCTCATTTTCCTCACAGACTCAGACAAATTGATCTGGAGGTATTGAAACGATTACATCGTAAAGTGAACGTCGTCCCTGTAATTGCGAAAGCCGATACCTTGACTACTTGCGAGGTGAAAAAATTGAAAGAACGAATCCTTGCTGACATCGAGGAGCATGAGATTCAGGTAGTGTCTTTTTCTCTTCTATTTTCTCTGGACTTAACGAACTTAAGTTAAAAAAATGTGCGAAAAAAGAGAGGGATGGTAGAAGAGAGGGAGGGAGAGAGAGAAAATGAGGGGAAGAAAGAGGGAAAAACGTGAAAAGAGACCATGATGATTTGCACGTAGATATATCAGTTTCCGGACTGTGATAGTGACGAGGATGAGGAATTTAAGCAACAAGATAAAGAACTAAAGGCGTGCATCCCATTCGCCGTGGTCGGCAGTTCAACGGTGCTCGAAGTCGCGGGGAAGAAAGTTCGTGGACGACAGTATCCTTGGGGAGTTGTGGAAGGTAACTAAATGTTTCATTTCCAAACTTCTTTACCAAAAAAAAAAAAAAAAGAAAAAAGAGAAAGATCTCGTGCTCGCGTCGCGTGTTGGACCAAGTGATGATTAACATTTGACTTTCGATCGAGCACAGTGGAGAACCCGAAACACAGCGATTTTGTGAAACTAAGGACAATGCTGATATCTACGCACATGCAAGACTTGAAAGACGTCACACAGGATGTGCATTACGAGAATTTCCGGGCACAATGCATTTCCCAAATTTCACAGCAAGCGATTCGGGAACGGAGGTATTTACGCATGTAAATAAGTATTGCATTTCAGTAGGTATACTTCTTTCTCTTTAGATGTATATCCAATATGTTTCTCTTACTCCCTACCTTTCTTCTTCGTACATATGATTATCGTCTTCTCTTTCCTGTTCTACTGTAATCGTTTACGTATCTCCCGTTTCTCCTTATACTAGTTTCTTCATCCTATCTCTGTACGATTCGGTTTCTCTATTCGTTTTATTAACCCTTTCGCTACGGCACGCTTTAGACAAGAAATACTCGTTGTGTACTGGACGAAAGAGTTATTATTCAACGCTGGCATAGAAATGAATTACGTACGATTGAAAAATCAACTGTTTCATGTTAGTCAAATGTCTGATGCATTCTGGCTGTTGCCTAACTTTCAATCGGCAGCGTTGTTTTATTTGTGAAGTGCGAAGATAAATTAACAAATTGTACGTGTTGGATGAGCGCATACAAGCTATCCCAGTATTTTTCAATGAAACTTTGTCAGTATGTTTTATGGGTATAAGTAAGAGAAAAGTGTTACATAAACATAAGACGTTTGAAGCTTTGTTAAAAAGTTACTACAAAAACACGGAATACGAAGAGAATGGTAACGAACTTGCGGTTGCTATGATATAAGACATTAATGGTACTGGCAGAAGTTATATTCAACACCTTCAACGATCTCAAATCATAAACACAGCTTGCGTAAACAGACTATGTAGATGTACATATCGCTGATCTATTTCTACTTTGTATCATAACCTCAAAATTCGTTACCATTCCCTTCGTATTTCGTGTTAGTGTTACAACCGTTTGACAAAACTTCAAACGACCTATATTTATATAAGATTTTTTTCACGCTTACACCCATAGAACACATTGACAAAGTTTGATCGAAAAGAAAACTGAGACACCCTATATATACGCCCTTCGGAGCGAAAGGGTTAAACAGACATTGTCTTATGAATACAACTAATTTCAACAGCAATTTCGCCGACGTAAACGTAATTTTATTCTCTTTGATTCGTAGTAAACTGAAAAGAGATTCGGGTCCACATTTCGAAAACAGTATATCCGACACAGACAGGTTACTTTTACAAAAGGACGAAGAGGTAAGGAAATAACAGAGAATTATAAACAATCGATATTGTGTGCTTCGCAGTTGTTCTATTTAAAGTCAATGACCCAACACCATAGAAACGCGAGGATTAATATCCTGTGACACACGTACTCAAGGGCCACTGTATTTCAATTTACCAAACTGAATGCATTTTCCTTACTATAATAGTATAATTTGCTTGTTACAACAAATTTCTTATAAACATAAAGTGAACTTTTTCACAAGGTACAATTGTCTCCTGGACCGTTCGAAAAATGTTTATTCTTTTAAATAATAAGAACGAATAACAAACTTGTGGTCAATCTTGGGAAAATAGAGAAGTAACATTTTTGAATAATATTATATAACCTTGTATCATTTATCTTAACAAAATATTCCGAAATATGCAATCACTTTTATGAAAACTATTTATTTAGATTCTACGAAGTAACAAAAGAAAATGGTTGAAACGAACACAATAGTTACTTCATTCTGTACACATTTAGGATATTTGTCCTGTTGCCTATAAATAGTTTCTGCAATTACGCGTAACGATCCCTCTTATTTTCACAGATTCGAAGAATGCAGGACATTCTCGCGCAAATGCAGGAAAAGTTAAAAGCTACGGGACAAGTTGGCCCAGGAATTGGTTTAAGAGGGAGAGTTGGTAGTCTAGGAAACGACTTGGACGCCACCGACGTCGAAAAAAAACGCAACAGTATTATAGATGTTTGAAAACCAAGATAAATTAGGATTATCTTTCGGTTACTTTATGTGCAACTTTTGCACGAACGATTCAATTCAAATTGATTCCATGTGAACACGCACAAACTTAACGAACACTTTTAAAGAAACCAAAGAGTTTTATACGCCTCTGTACGTATTAGTGATTTATTGTTAAACTGATAAATCAATAGGGAATCAGTCGCGTGCGTAAACCAGTTTTCACTTTTATATACATGTATAATACTCGGAAGACTGTCGCTTCATTTAAACAGTGTATTTGATATCACTACACATATTCACGTAAGCAAAACGTTGTATTGTACATATAAAAAGTGCGAGGAAATGATAGCAGAAATAAACAAAACGTATCTTATGAAAAGAATACTCAAATAATTATTTTTTCTTCTTCGATTAATTTCAAATTCATACTTCGTATAATATTGTTGATTATATTCTAGTAGAACATTTTGTTTTCGATGTAAATTCTACGTATTATTTTATATATATGTGAAATCTTGCTTTTTAAAGAATATTTCACAAGTAAACTGTAATTTGACTAATTGCACACCGAAAAACGTAAAAATTTTAGCGATTCAGGAATTATTATGAGTTCGCCGAATAAATGATTGCTACTGTAGCCATTCTTCTATATAACCAGAAAGGCAATGCGGTTTTATTATTAACTATAATTATAGGTATGGATTTGTATTAAAGTTCCCCCAAATCACTGTAATTCCATCTCCATTTCGTCGCACCCACAACCTGGAACACAGTATAAAATGCAGTGGCTTCGTAACATTAAGCTATTTTCTTTCGGTGAAGTCTTGCAAGATTGTGTCAAGTTGCTAATGATTCGAAAGGTTTGTATATTGTTAATCGTCATTTTTTTTTTTTATTCTATCCCTTTTATTTAATTTCTTTAAACGTGATATGTAGTAATGTACAAGATATTTCTACGATTCGAAACACAATATTAACCCGTTTGCATCCAAGCACAACTCTGTGAGCGTGTTTAAAGTGTATTTGAAAACATTGAAATTTCATAGTACCTAACGAAAGATTTATATTTCGTTCAATTTAAGAAAATACAAGAAATACGAGAATTATTTTCTGTACAGGTACTCTTGTTAACGACGATGTTGGTAGGAATTTTGAGCGAACCTCAAGGATCTGCCTACCTTCCACCTACAGGATCCGGACCACGTCCAAATACTGGAGGAAGTGGCCACCCAGACGAGTGGGCCGGTGTAAGTTTTTCTCCTCACCATTTGTTTCTATTCCATCAAGTACTTGACATCGGATAAACAGAATAATAAATAATATCTTTACATAGATTAAATATTTCCTTGAAGAAGAGGATTTTCATATTCATCCGATGACTTACATGTATACTATTTAGAGATTTCATAGAAATATATGAAAATTCATTTATGCCATAGAGAATACGAAAAGTATCTTACGATAATTTATATAAATATAAATATTTAAATTCACATAAATACTTTGTCATATTTTGATAGGATCCGGCAAATTACGAGTTTTCGTATGAAATAGAAGATGCAGTAGCTGGGTTAAATTTTGGCCATCACGAATCACGAAAGGACGATGAAGCAACTGGAACTTATCATGTACTATTGCCAGACGGTAGGACGCAGATCGTCGACTACGTTGCCGACGGTGCTGGCTATCGTCCCATGGTACGGTACGAGGGAACGGCAACGTATCCAGCTGCAGAGTCGCCTGCTTCACGAGGATCTACCAGTAACGAGGGATACAGATACTAATCAAGTTACAGATACATGCTACCTTTCAAGGAAGGTAAACATGAAAATTCAACGAATGAGAAAACCGAAATTAGAAAAAGAATAACTCATTACAATCAATAAAGAAATCCAGCTTAAAAATTTAGTAAACTTTATGTGATACATTTACAATGCCAACAAGCTATATTTTCCAATAAAGCCTTTAAGATCTTTTCTCGCTTAATTTTTTTTTCTCCAACTTTTTACGACTTTTTGTATTTCTGAATGTACTGTAAAACTTCTTGCACATCTTCTCGCGAACCTAGAAATATCGGAGACCTTTGATGAATGTTCTCGGGGATAACCTCCAAAATATCAATTTCACCGTTCGATGCTAAACCGCCAGCTTCTTTTAGTATATAAGCCATCGGTATACATTCGTACAAAAGCCGGAGCTGGAAGTAAATATTCCAAAAGTGACTAAGATGCAGAATTACCGTTTATCGCATTGCATTTATAATAAAAATAAGACGAATGTTTAAAGGCCGTAACTATCATACCTTGCCACTTGGATGACTGTTGGTCGCCGGATACAAAAATATTCCTCCATACTTTATTGTCCTGTGTACGTCAGCGACCATGGAGCCCACATACCTTGCGCTATATGGTTTCCCATTTTCAGGATATTTCTTTGAACGAATATAATCTTTGATAGCTGCATTCCAAGCACCCTCGTGGCCTTCGTTAACACTAAAATCATCATTTTTAACATTTTGTCACGAACTACAAACTACAAATACGGTAACATAACGTTACTCGCACTTATACCTGTAGATATCCCCTCTAGATGGTACGCGTATGTTTTTTTCGGTCAAAATAAATACTCCGATCGATGGATCATAGGTAAAACCATTCACTCCGTGACCGATCGAGAGTACAATCATAGTTGCAGAACCATAAAGTGCATATCCAGCGGCGACCAAATTCTTACCAGGTTGAAGGGCATTTGCCGCCATAGGTTCTCGCGATTCGTTCGGTTTCTTATAAATACCAAAAATTGAACCGACTGACACTAAACAGTCGATATTAGAGGATCCGTCCAAAGGATCGAAGCACACTATGTACTTTCCGCTCTTTTCAGTCTCCACTTCAATCACATTCGAATTCTCTTCGCTCACAAGAAGACAGGTTGTAAATGAAGATTTCAGCATATTTATGAATACCTCATTGCTCAATACGTCTAACTTTTTAACGTCTTCTCCTTGAACGTTCTGACTTCCGGCTACTCCATACCTACTCCGACAAAAAAAAGAAAAATAACAAAATCATTGAGAAATTAATTTCACTGCTGAAGCAATGAAATACTAGAGTAACTGTACATCGTGAATTTTGCCCATTCGTACACTTAAGTGTTCGTTACTATATATTTGAATTAAACATTGTTTCAACACTCACATATTTGCAATACCGGCTTTTCTAACCGCTGAACTAACCGCCTTTACAGCGGTTTGTATGCTATTTAGAAGTTGACTTAGATCTCCCGTAGCGGTTGGTATTTTTCGTTGCTCGGCGAGAACAAATCTTGTCAGCGTCATACAATCAGAATCAAAGGAGTGACTTTTCGAAGCCATTTCTGCGATAACAAGCTAACAGTCTTCTATCTTGCGAAGCGAACGGATAGACTGCGATGAATATGCTCAAGCGTAATTCTATATAAAGCCAGACAGCTTCTCGATACTAGCTTATCTCTCTCTCTCTCTCGCTCTCTCTAGTGAAAGTGTAATATTTTGAAACTTGTGATTCATGTAACACGAACTAATTTCAGTCTTGTTATCACTATCGGCTATACCTTCGCTTATTTGTCAATTTATTTTTATTCTAAAGCTGAGTCTTGAAATTCCTGTGCCAAGTGGTTCACAATAACATTTGCCGTGTGAATGTTTTTCACAAATCTGGAAACATACTATAAAATCACAGATAGAGTTTGACGTATAATACAATACGTATTAGGGTAACTGGCACCTAATACGGAATACCTAGGAAATTTGTAAAGAAATCTCAAAAAACTTTATTTTTACCATGAAAAGTAAATATCTATCTGAATAAAATAGATCAATAAACAAATATATTCCATTCTTTTTTGAACCTTGTCCCCAGATTTTCTTTTAATTTTTACTGCTGCAACTTCCATCTATTATATAAAATAATAATAATAATAGCATAACACTATGTAATATATCGCAGTACAATAATATAATGTACTTATAATGGTAAAAATATAACATGGAACATGTCCGATGTTACATATACTCAACGTCTTCCATATTGGATACATGTGTATTACGACAGAAAAATAATAATTATACTAAGAAGGAAAATTTAACGGTAAATTTCTCTAGAAGACTCACAAACATACATGTTCAATGGGTAATATTTTTTTACCCTACCTGCACTATTTAACACGACTCTCAAAAACTTTTATACACTTTCAAACAACAGTCAACTTCGCATTCAACCACAGACTTGTAACTTAAGCTCAAATGCGATTATGATTGCCTTTTGTTTTTAATGACATATCTTATACTGTTGCTGATTAATTTTGTTACTTATTTCCCGAGATATTGCAGTGCTCCATATTACGTACAATTACCCTATATATATACAGGGTGTTCCGTTGTATGTTGGAAGTACAGCAGGGGTGGATTCAACACATTAGAGTAAAAAAGAAAGTTCGTGTAAACATATCCCCGATATAACCTTGTTTTCGAGTAACAAACTAAAGGAGATAATTAGGTGACCCGTTTTAGTGGGACACTCTATATATCGGAATTGAAATCGATTTAAATTATACGTATTATACATTAAAAATTATATTTTAAATGTATACAATATGTAAGGTATAGCTTATAGGATACAGTTTTCGTGAAAAAAAAAAAGTATCTTTTAAGGAAAAATTTGTTTTCCAATTCCATAATTCTATAATTAATTGACTTATTGTAAGTTATTTCAACTTATTTGCTAGATGAAAGGGTGTTACATTTTTTTTTCAACGATAAATTCATCCAAAGGTTATCAACACCGCGAATGTGCTAAAGTTAAAAATCGACTTATAGTTGATAATGCGTGTAACACGTGCATGCTACTATATTATATCACACTTTCTCACGACACGGTATTGCGATAAGAAAATTAGTACCAGTTTGATGATTACTCAATGTTTGAATGATTGTTAGAATATACGCAAAATTCATTTATGCGACGTACACTTTTACCAAACGTACAACGTTGGTATCTAATCTCTTCGAATTTCGTTCAAATTAAATGTTAATCAGATTTTTCGAACAAAAACGCCTATCGAAATTTTGGTAAATTCTCTGTCTGTGCAAACGTGAGACATGCAATGGCAGAAATGAAATCTTATACAATAAAGATGGCTCGGCCACTGTACATGTTCCTTGACGCATACGATATCCAGTATCTGCTTAAGTCACAACAACATGATAAATCATTATTAGACTGTACTAGAAGTGTCAATGATATACAGTGACTTTCACTAATATTTAGACATTATCTAGAGCATTATAACTTTTCTTAAAATTCGACCAAACGACTCGAGTTCTTTTTTAGAAGTTAGAAGGAGATTGGTATACCGGATGACGTGTAGAAAAAATTTTGAAAAATTTGCAATTTCCAGGAATCGCGAAGAAAATTGTAAAGGTCACAGTTTACAACTTTTTCTTAAGAATCTTCAGATTTATTACAGTTATTTCCAGCGATTTTCACAAATTGCAATTTTTTCCAAATTTTTTGTACCACGTCATCTAGTATACTAATTCTTCTAACTTCTCAAAAAAAAAAAAAAAAAAAACTCAAGTCGTTAAGTCCAATTTTTAAAAAGATTTAAAATAAAAATTCTAAAGAGTGTCCGAATATTAGTGAGAGTCACTGTATCTGTTAGATATACATAACATATTCAATATGTGTAACAAACATTATTATTAAGTGAGTTAAGATATTGAGTGAGTTTTTTACCAATCATACAATTTATATTATATTTTCTATCACCTTCGTTTTTGAATCTTTAAATAATTGTTCAACAGATATAAACTGTTTTGTATATGTGGAAAGTGCTTCTTAATCTTTATTATTCTATAATATAATATTACATAAAATAAAAACATTTGTCAATAATTATGAGTTTGTTATAGTTTTGTTCAAAAATCATGTATGAATGAGAGAAGTAGAAGAAGCTATTTACTTTCATAACTTTTACCCGATCTTTAGTCAATGAGGCGAGATATATTTCCAAAGTAAAAAAAAAAAAAACAACACCCCGTTAATTGATATCCAATTTCACATGCACAGAATCAATTTTTTTTAAACTACCAAAGGGACCATAGCGATGACCAGTAAAACGTATTTGTACATAAGCTAATTTATAATACAACATGACACAGCGAATGTAAACATAACTGATGTCAATTAATTCACAAATATTTTTAGGAGCAGTAGTTCTCAAACTTAAACGTTATCAACTGTTACTGTTGCGATATGAACCGAAAAAGCACAGAAACAATGAAAGAAGAAAGAAAAATTATTATAAGTTTACATAATCAGTGTAAAACACTTGATGACGTCCACATGAAATAAATGAACATATTAAACGACTAATGATTCAATAGCGTAATGATACTAACATGTCAATAGGGTACTAAAAACAAGATATTTACCGTTGAAAGCAAATTTGATGTCTGACTCTGACATACCATCTGTTAATACATAGGTAGATAGTAAAATAAAGTTTCTGGTTTACTTTTTAATTATTGGAAGTCTTAAATAAAATTATTGTATGCTTTAAATTAAGAAAATGAGACGCATGCGCAAATCGAAAATCCTATATTTCAAAAGTAAACTAATATCATGTTGTGTTTGGCTGCGCAAACTAATTTTTGAAACGACCTAGAGCCTTTAAACCTATATGAAAACGTTGCTAGAGATTTATACTTCATTAATTAATACTAAAAGTTCACAAATTTATCGTAAGTAATGAGTTATTAATGATTTTTCACCGGCCGACTTGACTTTGGCCCTAGAAGGTGGGGCTTACCGGCCTGCGGGCCAATAGAAAACATTTCTCTCTATCCTTCTCGCACGGTAATGCGTTCCTTGTCTAATACCTCTGTTCACATTCTGTGTTCCTAGTAACGAGCCGTTAGTTCGCGCAGCCAATCACGAGATGGTGTTAGTTTACTTTTGAATGTAGCGGTAGTTTTAAGTGGAAGGATGAGTGACCAGAAAGGACGCCAGCACCGGAAGCTCAGTACATTTTATAATTATATTTTCGGTATTATTGCAGTGTACATCCAACAGAACCAAACACAAGAAGTTCGCCTCCGCTTTTCGTAGCATATGTTTACTCTATCTTAAACTATATTTTAACCTAGATCGTAATCTCTCTTAACCTATCTTAACCTACTACTGCCAACTTACAACTAGTGACTATATTTAGGAACTTTATTACTACGCTGGTGGAGTGCCGCTACATGAAATGTGGGGGACCCTTTCCAGTCGATAATTGTAATTAATCTTAAAATGAAATAAATATGTCCGATCTACTCAAAGGTCTTTATAATTCTGTTTCTACATTATACAATAAACCAATTATAACAATTTACACAGAGACGATCAAAAGCTTAAATACAAAAGAACTAACAAACTACTAAATTAAAACCTTTAAAAAACACGCGCAACTGAGACGCACGTGAAAACCGAAAACCCTACAGAAAAATTCTCTATCTTTGTCTAACTTGTTCTATAGTGCTATCCTTACCTATCCGTATTCCTTTCCTTGTCTTACTCATTTCTGTATTACTAATGTAAGTATTTCGACGAGCTATCCTTCGTCGTAAGCGCGACTAAATCTATTGGATTATTTACGTGGGTAGAATTGTTCACGATTTTTTGATAGCAATAGAACACGTGCATGTGATGAATTATCAATTGTTATAAACAATTACGTTACTTTCTTATTTGTAATTTCATAGTTATTTGTAATTAATTCCAAAACAACTGCTAATATTGCAATCTTATTTTACGCTAAATTGGTAACGTTGGGAACGACACGAAAATGTAAGTCTTCTCGGCCCCCCTGCCGCGATCACAAGTCCAATAAAATACTAAGTCTATTCTGTACATCGTCTGTGCCAGAACTTCCCATGAAACAAAGTCAGTGCAGAACAGTAGAGTAGTGGGGATGACATGTCCACCTATTTTCCGCTCATTTACTTGGGAAAAAGTTTGATTCTATATTTTCGAATAATTTTTTCATGCAGAATATTCCCCTTCACAGATACACCACCAGTTACGGAACACTCTGTATATTCGAACTTTGTTATAAATAATGTTCATAACACAAAGTCTTTAAAAACAAAATGCATATTATAATTATTATACAGAATAGTTCATACAATTAGGTCGTCATATACCATTTCTAGTTGCAATTAAAAACAAAAGTTATAGGAAAAATTAAATGGTGAAACCTAACCTTCTTATGATAAAATCTTTTCCGCAAGTCCAATGGTGCACATGCAATATATAGGGTGTCCTGTAAAGAGTGTAATACCCGGAAATGGGGGGTTGCTGGGGTGACTCTGAACAACTTTTTCCTTGATCAAAATGTTGTTTGAAGCTTCGTTTTTGAATTATTAACGAAAAACACTGGCCAATCAGAGCGCGCGTAGAGCCCCCGCTCAGGGACGCCGACAGAGATTCACCCGCGCGCTATCATGAACAAGCGTACGCGTGAATCTTTGTTCGTTGTCCCTGAGTGCGTGTTCTACGCGCGCTCTGATTGGCCAGTGTTTTTCGTTTTAACAAAAATATGTATTTAAAATATCTCATACACTATTTATTTTTCGATTATTTTACTTTAATACTTTTTCAAATAGAATGATTAAAGCAATCGATTTATATAAAAGAATATATCTGCTCGAATTTCAACAAAATTATACAACGGCAGATTACATTTGCAGAACAAATTTTACCATCAAAAGATAGTCTTATTTAAACCATTTAATATTTTCCCCCAACACTTTTTCTAATTGCAACCAGAAAACAAATATGGCTCAATCCAATTAGGTGAATCACCATATTATACACATTATAATACTACTGTATTATGTATTTACACTACAATTTAGTTGAAACTATGTATACAAATTTTGTATTTGTTGCACAATTTTAAAGACTTAATATTAAAAATTTAATGAAGATCACGATACTTGAGGAAAACATACAATTTCAAAGTTCCCCTTCTATATATTCTCTATTTATAGACTGTATTTAAAAAATATGTAAGTTTTCACATACACTAACTAATCGTTTGAAAAATATTTAACATTTATAATTTTTAATTGAATTATCGTATTATATTGAAGAACAGAGTTGTGAGAATCTTACAAAGTAATAGTATTAAGAACAATTACAACACCAAATTTCATTTGCATTCAAATAGGTAAGGAATATAAATAATATACAATGTATAAAATAAAAGATAGTATAGTAAAGCATACAAATAAGTTGACGTAATTACGTGTGAGTTACTAACTATTTAAAAAGTATTAAAAGTTTAATTA